ACATATAATATATTAAGAACATATCTATATATATATATATATATATATATACACAAGGTAAAATGTACAGTTTTCTGTGTATATGAAGCATAGATTACTTATACAATTGTGTGTTTAACATATTCTACAGTATTTCTGCTGATATTGACTGTTCGTTGGGACATTGTGTGTTTACCCTGTCTGCAGAGATGATGGGAATCCTGACAGCAATCTCTGGGTGGGGCTCATCCTGGTCATCTCCTTCTTCCTTATCATCAGTGTTTTGGCATTTCCTAACGGTGAGCAAGAAAGGACACTGAAGTTATTATATTTAGTTTTATTTGAGTCTGTTTGCATAGCCCTCATTTAGCCTGAAGGTGTTTCACCAACAGACATATGTTAGCACAGTAAATAATAATGACTGCTTCACTTGGCACCCTTAGACAAGAAATAACCCCCCATAAGGACCCTTATTAAGAGAGGAATAAATAGAAGATAGATAAATAGGATAGATTGTATAAATAAAGTTTGGTCTTTATTGTTAGTCGGTTCTCACCACAGAGATTTTAGCTCTTTCCCAAAGCCATGAATCATATCTACCAGTGGGAATGGGGAAAGAAAGGTGTCCAGAGCAATTCATATTTGTGGCATAATAAATCATAAAGAAACGTGTGTCCTTGTTGTCAATTATTTCTCTGACATAGTATATTTATGTCCCTCACTATAGGTCCGTTCACCAGACCGCATCCAGCGATATGGCGAATAGTTTTTGGTGAGTATTGCTGAAAATTGGCGAAAAACAGTTTTTGTTTGGACCTTTTAGATTTCCCTTCTTAATGTCATCTCTCTGCTGTTAAGGTCTGAGTGTCCTCTACTTCCTGTTCCTGGTTTTCATCATCTTCCTCAACTGGCAGCAGGTGAAGCAGCTAATGTACTGGTTGGACCCGAACCTGCGTTATGCCAAGAGGGAGGCAGACATAATGGTGAGTGATGTGGGCTTACACAGGAAAATAATTCTCAGATTGATTTGCATGCAACAGTTGTGGTCACTACCAGCGGATTATCAATCATTGTAATGAGGCTATATGTGCTGCTCTCTGCAGGAATATGCTGTGAACTGCCATGTCATCACCTGGGAGAGAATCCTGAGCCATTTTGACATCTTTGCATTCAGCCATTTCTGGGGCTGGGGTATGAAGGCCTTGCTCATCCGAAGCTATGGCCTCTGCTGGACCATCAGTATTACCTGGGAGCTTACTGAGGTAAAGAAGCACACGCCAGACGAGGTTATCACACACTTAGCACTCTGTGGCCTGTCACTTTCTCTCTGTCTCTTTCTCTTTATGATGGAAATGTTAAGGACAACTAAGCTAGTCATGTAAGTGGTTTAAACAGTGGAAAATGATGGGGTTTTGGGCTCTTCTCAATCATTTTATGTAACATTTATTAAATGTTATACTAGGCTGAAAAGTTCACCGTTCTTCAGATATATAGATGACGTAGCTTCTCAAAGCCTCCTAATCTCCTGTTCCCACAGCTATTCTTCATGCATCTGCTGCCTAACTTTGCCGAGTGCTGGTGGGACCAGGTGATTCTGGACATTCTGCTGTGTAACGGAGGAGGCATCTGGCTTGGCATGACCGTCTGCCGCTTTTTGGAGATGAGGACCTACCACTGGGCCAGTATAAAGTATGAACTCGCAGTCTGGGAATGAACTGCATTAAAATTGTATCCAGTTTTGTGTTGATCTTAAGTCTATGCAAACAGTACCAGCAGAAACACACCCAGCTTTTGCATTTGTTTGTTTTTTAAGCCATTTATAGGTTGTGAAGTGGGGTTTAGATTCTAAGCCTTGTGCATGCATTTCATGGGATCAACCCTGATTTAGTAACAATACGTCTAATATAGTGGCAGTAAGACCATATGTACCTTGATTTAAACTGAAAGGCAAAATGTAGCCTGAAAGGATATCACAAGCTAAAGAATGTTTTAATCTTTATGCTTGATTATGTAAATTTAAGAAGTTTTCTTTATTGTGATCCCAATAAAAGGTAGTTTACTTAAGTCTATTGCACTGTAGCAAGCCTTTCTAGATACAATCTTATGATATAAAAAAAAATGAGTTTTGAAATATGATCTCACAAGTTCATCAAGGAAGAGTGCTTAAATGATTAATGTGATGGCATTACTTTCATCTGGCTTTGTCTACTGCAATAACACAATACTTATTGTAAATCTATCTGCAGGTCTTTGTAATCCTTCTCCTGTGCTTCTCATACAGGGACATCCACACCACCACAGGGAAGATCAAACGAGCCGTGTTACAGTTTACCCCTGCAAGCTGGACCTATGTACGCTGGCTTGACCCGAAGTCTTCCCTGCAGCGAGTGACGGGTGTCTATATGTTCATGATCATCTGGCAGGTGGGTCAGTGAGAAATCCTCACTCGCCATCTCATGGTGACTTAAGTGCTGACTTGGGATCATCCCACATGCTTTGCGTGCTAAATCCAGGCTAATCTAATTGCCTCCACCGTTGTTGAAATCTAAAACCTTGTCTCACATGGATCCATATAATGCACGAGTGTCCTGCTGTTTACATATTAACAGCTAATCCCATAAGAGTGAAAGACAGGCTGGATTACTTTGGACCAATTTATGGTAATGAGAAAACCATGGATGGAGAACTTGAGTAAGCTCTATTGCTCTCCACTGGAGAGTCAACTATGGCTGCCAAAGGTCTAGCCACTGACTGCTATGGCGACGAAAGCTGCTGTTTCTCTGATTTTTTTTTAGTGTGGTGATAAAACAAAATTGTCCACCCCTCTCTCCCTCCCTCCTTCAGACCCAACTCCCTTGAGGCTTTAAATAGTAATTACCAGTTTTTCGAGAATTAGTTGGGGGACCTGTTCAGCTCTGCTCAGCGTGGTGACAGTTTAGCGGCTCTTCACTGGGTTCGACCACACAGGCCCCAGGCCAAATGACTGAATAACATGGCAGCAGGCCTCCCTCTCATTATCTTCCAGTGCAAATTGGAGGGACTTGGACAGAGTGTCCCCAAAAACAAACTGCTAGAAATGTTGCCAATTTGTTAATCCAAGTGGGACTTGCATGGTTTGTTAGAGTCCTACCCTGTACCCAACGTCGTTTTGAGTAAGAACTACATTTTTGTAGAACAATTAATAGACTCTACATGGAGCATAAAAATTAGACGGGGCAAAAATATCAATCTGTAATCTTAAAGTTAAACTTGTATGGAAGGCAACATACTGTAAATTTCTTTCACATTTGTTGGCTCTGTCTAAATTTTTTAACAACAGGCTGAACTGGTTCACCTTTTCAGTGTGTCTGACTGTGATATAGCACTAATTAAGACGCACTGGCAATAGACAGCGAACAGCACACATCTAGACTTGTTGAAAACAGGTGTAACTAATAACATTAATGATGACTGCATTACTTGTAGGTTAGGCAGTTCCAGGGCCCTTGCCTTATGCACACAGTCTCACTGGCACGGCTCACTGGCACATGTTAGTGGAACAGAGCTGTCCATCAAATGTTATTGTCTACACCTGTGCTTGTCCTGCTGTGACATCAGAATGTCTGCTGTGAGAGAGATTTATGGTCCCAGACTGGGGCATTGCAAAGCCACTGAAGAGTCATCGTGTCATACAAAAGTCAGCTCATGACAGAGAAAAGAAAATGTATTCATAGTTTGAGAAATTAAAGATAGATATGCAATGCAGCTTATACGATCAAAGGGCACAACCGTGAAGAAATGATACAGTACGTGTAATTCCAGTAGGATTTATCAATTCCTTGTGTAAGCACACCTATGGCTAGCTTATATTTTCTAGCTTTAAGATAACATTAGCAACAACAATGAGCTCATTTTGTGAGATGTAACCTAGAAGTTAGAATAAAGTGTGTTAAAGCATTTGACTTTGTACACAATACACTGCTTTAACAATTTACAATTCATGGTTTCCTGTCACACTTTAATAGAATGCAGCCATTGTTAATGCCATTAGTAACACCTGCGCTTTTCTCACTATCCTAAGAGAAAATGACTGCGGGGAAAAAACAGCCTGTGAAAATAAATCTATAAAGTAGTTCATAAGTAGCAGAACAGTGACATAGTGTTTGTTGAGTTGGCTCTGAACTGTGGCACACTGGATTTGATGTTGACTTGTAACTTTAAGGGCGTTGAAGGGCATTCACATCTATATTGGGTGAACATAGTAGTAGTAGTAGTAGTAACTGTTTCCCTTTTCATATATACTGTACAGTACTTGTTTAACAATACGTTTTAAGGGCCAAACAGTCCAGTGTTCTTGACTGGCCAAGTTGGCTATCTGACCATGATACAACTGGCCATGTGCAAAAAAACACATGGCATGGCAAACAACAACATAACTATTAATATTTGGAAAAGATGTTGAATGAATCATTAGTAAGTAATACTTTATTTGGGATTATTTAGTCTATTAAATTCTTGCAACTTTTAATTCAGACACTCTGTGTACAAAAAACATATATATATATATGACAACTTACCATTATATATTATATATATATATATATATATATATAATATACATATATATATATATTTACTATATATATATATTATATAATATATATATATATATATAGGAGTTACACATGAAAATCTTCATTCTTCTTTTGCCTTACTTCCCTTCTTTGTCCATAGCTAACGGAGTTGAACACATTCTTCCTCAAGCACATTTTCATCTTTCCTGCAAGCCATGCTCTTAGCTGGTGTCGGATCCTGTTCATTGGTATCATCACAGCTCCAACAGTGAGGTAAAAACACAAAAGGCAACTTTATTAGTTGAGAAATTATCCTTAGAAACTGATGATGCCAGTTTTTTTAAATATATATATTGTATTTTGTTAAATGCTGATGTTTGCATTGTGTTTGTTTTTTTGTTTTGCTTCAGGCAGTATTATGCGTACCTTACAGACACACAGTGCAAGAGAGTTGGGACCCAGTGTTGGGTGTTTGGGTAAGTGAAACCTAATTTCAGGGCAACCTTTTATTTTCAAGAAAGACCCCCAGAATCAGTCGTACTACGCCACATGTTTATATGTAGGGCTGTAGTGTTCCTGTATCAGCCACAAGCAGTGAAGGCAAATAAAGGAGGTGATTTTGAATTATCTACAAGGGCAATAAATCTCCCTAAGCAAATGTTACTGTGTTCAGATAAGTGAAATATGCACTGCTCTCAGAGAAAAGTCACATACAGGCATATTTGTTTTGAGAAAGTTTACTGCATGTGGGTCAGAGGTTTCAGTTGTGTGTGTTGCTTTTTCTCTCCTCATTCACAGGGCAATAGCCTTTCTGGAGGCCTTGGCGTGTATTAAGTTTGGACAGGACTTGTTCTCAAAAACACAAATCCTTTATGTGTTCCTCTGGCTACTCTGTTTGGTAAGATCTGGATCACAGTGCTGTTGCATTTTTGTGTCAAAATGAATTTACTATCGTCTTCTGCAGTTAATAATTGCCTCTGTGTACTTTAAAATACATGAAATCGGGTGCCCGGTAAGCTCAGTCGGTAGAGCTGGCGACCCTGTACGATGCTGCAGCGGCCCAGTCGATCGACCTGCGCCCTTAGCTGCGGTGTCATCCCTCTCTCTCTTGCACCCCTTTCCTGTCTCTCTGCAGCTGTCACTATCAATAAAGGCAATTAATTTAAAAATAAATAAATAAAATACATGAAATCATGTGCCTTAACTATACTGCCAACACACCATCATTTTTCACATGTTTGAACATGAAAAACATTTTAACTTGAAAAACCTAATGTGCTGTAATGAATTGACTATGGATTCTCCATGAACCATTAAACCATCTCTGTTGTTTGTTCTGTTTTCAGGCCTTCATTACATTCCTGTGCCTGTATGGAATGGTGTGGGTTGCTGAAACTTATGGTCCAAGAGACAAGGTATGTTTGCTTTGTGTAACTGGTTTTTTTTTTTTTTGTGTGTGTAACAGCTTATAATGTGTTTGTTTAAAACCTTAAGGCAGTGACGGTTTACACACGTGTTAAAACAAACATGCATCTTGTTATGTGAATATCGCAGGAGTTTTGGTCACATGTCAGAATAATCGCCTTTTACATAAAAGTCAGCAATCTTACTAGGTTGGCCATGTCACATTTCCATAACACTTCTAAAAACTCACATATCTTGTTTACCTTATTAAGAGCACTTTGAGGAGACTTTAAGGATTTAATGTGAGTCCCTGTTCACTATGGACAGTAGAAAGCAGGCAGCTGGTATTCTCTCTAAGAAAGTATAAGATTGGTGAGAAAATGTTTTGTCGGGTCACTGTGAAAATGGAGAGAGAGCGTCCCTCACCCTCATGATGATCATTAATTAAGGCTGCAAACACAACAAAATCCATCATTGTTGCAGCCTTTCAGAAACCCTTCTCTTCTTCCTCGATATCATTATTGTCAACTCATCGCTGGTCTCAGCTGCTGCTCACGTATGAGGTGCCAAATGTTGCACAAGCATAATGGCTTTCTGTGAAGGTCCCATAATGTCTAAATAAAACTGCAGCAATCATTTACATAACACCTATGTCTGAGTAACAAAAAGGCCTTGCTTCAGTCGATAGGTGAAGACCCTCAGTGAATATTAACTTTCAGACCTTTTTCATCATTCAGTGTACTATGTTGCACGAGGTCGGTTAGCTGCTGTATGTTCCCTTTCCAGTTAATGGTATGTGTGTCATGTGTCTGACCTCTTCTCTCACAGAGCTTCTCAGAATGTGAAGACAGTAATTACGCAGAATCTGCTGACTACCTGTCAGAAGGATTTAAAGGTACAATGATTTTACTGTAATTGATCAACCACATTAAAACGGCTGAGAAAATTATACATTCATTTTCAACCGTAATCCTTTGAAAGTCTGACCCCTAGTGTTTGGAATAGTGCTTTACTTGTACTGTTTTTGTGAAAAGTTCAGTCACATCTTTTTAGAAACTAATTTCCAAGTGTTTCATGTTCCAGGAGAGACAGAGGTGGACAGCGACAGCCCTACAACCAGATGTAGAGGAAAGGGCTCAGGAAAGACCAAATCCATCAACGGCCTGGACAGCCAGTAGGAGTTGGAGTTAGAGGCTGGTGGGCGACTCCTGAACTCACTCCAGGAGCCAGGTGTGAAGGATCACAGGTTGAAAAAGGGGGTAAAGATTCAACCATTTCCTGGTGTAATTTAAGTCTAAAAAGCCCCCACCTACAGTAAAGGAGTAGAGACAGGAGAGACTAATCGGAAGAACAGGTCCATGCAGTGTTATTAGGAGTGCACAGAGGCAGGCTTGGACTACAGAGACGCACACTTAACTGAGTGCTGTAGTCATAAAAAAACAACTCCTAAACCACTGATCACAGGTTTCTGTGTGTGTGAAGAGAGAGAGAGAAAGAGTGGTATTTTGTGCGTGTGTGAGAGAAGGGCAATACAAATTGCCGATTCTAAATGTGACTGCATGATCATTGTAGCTGATAAACTATAATTTACAAACATTTATCCTATGATACAGTATATCATTGATGGTTAATGTACATCTGACTGGACTACATCAGCTTAAACTCCAGTATGTCGGTTCAACGCATTTCAATGTTAAAAGCCATTATGTAGAATCTATCACATTATTATGGAGCCTCTGTTTATAGCACAGAAAGGCTAAAGTCTTTTATTAGTATCTGTTATTGATTGTCTATTTACATCATTGATGTTCACACTTGTTTCGTGGGCTTGAATGTGGGCAGGATTTCAATGCAAGACAGCTTTAGCTTAGTATCAACTGAGGTTTGTGTTTGACCTGGAACAAAGCAAAGCACACAGTTTAAGCACTTTTCAGAATGTTTTCTTGCAAATACTGTACATTTTGTAATGTTTGAGTATTTTGTGAATCATTGTGACCTTGGGTGATTTTATTCTCCTGTCCATCTGTGGCTGCTATCATTTTTTTTTTTTTTTTTTACTGTACTGATAACGGAGGGCAATTATTCAAATTCCTGCATGTCCTGTCTGTGTGCAGGTGGCGTCGTTTTACTGTCAACCTTCTTGTTATTGCATATATTGCATTTGCATGGCTGTGTCAAATCAAATCAAAGTGTTTTAGTAGGAAAAGAGTAGTCAACAGTTCTATATTACACCACACACCAGGATGCCAGTATTGTTATTTTTATTTTTTTCACTGTAACATTTTAATTTACCCCTTGTGCCTCTTTGCATGTTGTTTTATATTCCCAACTTTTCTCAGTTTGTACTAAATTTGGGCTTTCTGTGTTTGATTCTTCTGTGCTTCGAGTGCTTTACTAAAGGTTTATTTTCACTTGCTCTGTCAGCATCATCTCAGTACAGAAATATCCATCATAATCCTCGACAATCCAGACGTTGACCTCTGTGGAATGGACCAGGCTCCCGTGCTACAGTAGACACTATAAATGGTACATTGTCTCTGGATATAGATGTCATTTGCCAAAAGCAATTCTGTCGAAAATGACTTGTGCTGTTCTTTTTCACTGTGAAATAATGACACATATTAAAATGTTTTACATTTCCTCTTAAAATCTTTGTGAGTTGTTATTGGGGATATTTGCCCTTGTTTTTTTTAGCGCTGCAGCGCTACACATACACCCTACTTTCAACAATAAATGCCTTTATTACTTATTAAATACATTTGTTTGTACTTGCCATTACATTAATGTAAGTGGGAGACTGTTAGAATACATAACAATAAAAAATCATGAATGACCTTGCTCAACCCCTGGAGAGCACCCTGCTGCAGTAAAGGAGTGCTGGATTGGCTGACTCAAGCACTGCCTGTCTCGGATCAGATTTCACACGGTCTGCACACCATGAAACAGACTGAAATAGCTGCCTCGTGCTGACCTACAACAAGGTTTTAAGGTAGGGTTGATGTTCCCTGGGAAAAGATACAGTCCTTAACATGAACAGTACTAGCATAGGTATATCTAGAAGGAGTTTTCAGCAGCTGTCACCCCACAGTGAGTACTAATGTACACCGTGACATCTCTCCTGGTGTTGAAACCAGTGATATACCTTTATGTTTTATTACCTAATATACATATAAAACAAGTAATTACGTTTTTTCTGCTGTTCTCATCTGCTGTGTGTTTAAAATAAAACCACTCAACCGCTACAGTTTGTGTGTAAGTTGATTTCCAGAGGAGGGCAGCAGAGAGCCTTACTGTTGTGCAAAAACGCCACGTGACCCTTTGGGCCTACAGCACAGGACATGAGTGTGTTGACAAAAATGTTGCAGTGCTCTGTTCTCATATTCCTCTCTTCATCATTCTCTCCATCTCACTTAAATCACCAGCTTTTCTTTTTTTGGTTTTTGTTTCCTGAACCTCCTGCTGCCTCTATCAGTAGGTTTAAAGGAAATCTGGATATTTGAGTCATGGCCATGAGTCCTGGTTCCCCAAGTCGTGGCAGCCTGAGTCCTGAGGGGATTCTGAGAGAGATCCAGATCAACTTACTGGAGTGTAAGGTCTGCTTCGAGAAGTTCAGCACTCAGCAGAGGGAGCACCGACCACAGAACCTTTCCTGTGGCCATGTACTCTGTCTGGAATGCATCACAGCTCTGTCCCACCCTCTCCTAAGGAAGCTGGAGTGCCCGTTCTGTCGACAGCTGTGCAGTGTTGACGGCACCTCCCACTGCCAGGTTCTGAGTGACCTGCAGGAGTTGTTGTTGTCTTGGAGTCCCACATCCTCTGCTACTCCTCACAGGGCAAAGGGAGGCCTAGGCTTGGCTACAGGTCTGACATCCACAGCTCTGCACCTCTCCACAGCTTTTGGTGGGTGGGGGACTCTTATCAACCCCTCTGGGATAGCTGTGTTGGGGTCTGCAGGGACAATAGTGGTGGTGCATGATGGAGAGAACAGGGTGGCGGTGTTCAGTCCACAGGGCAAGAAGCTGCACAGTTTTGGCCGAAGAGGACGAGCCATTGGTGAGATCTGTCATCCAGTAGATGTGGCGGTGAGTCCCTGTGGGTACATGGTGGTGACCGATGCAGGGGATAAAGCTGTGAAGGTTTTCACCTCCAGGGGGAACCATGTGTTGACGGTCAAAGATTCCTTCCAGATGCCCTGGGGTGTGGACACAGACAGCCATGGTGACATCCTGGTATCGGACGTTCAGGCTGGCACACTTTCTCAGATAAAAGTGGACTATACTCGTGGTCTCATCCTGGAGCATCAAACAGCCATTTCAGACCTAGAGCATCCAAAAGTAGTGGCCTCCTGTTGGGTAACTGGGAACACTGCAGTGATGGAGCATTTACCTGATGACACACATCCATCAGGGAGGCACCAACACACACGGCTGAAAGTGTTTTCAAAAGACTTCAACCTCCTTTATCAGACAGACAATTTTAGTCTGACCCTGCAGTCCATGGTGAGGTTGAACATGTCAGGCGTGGCCTTCGACAGAGATGGAGATGTGATTGTGATTGATTCCAATCACGGGATGATTTGGAGTTTGGGGAAGCTCCAGAATGGCCCAGTCCTGACTCCTCTGGTGGGAGACCACCTTATCCGCCCAGTTGGACTGGTGTCACTGAAGAACACGCTGGTCATTCTGGACAGTGGAGATAATACAGTGAAGATTTATTCTGCTAAATCTGATGCTAGACCCGTCTTATAGCTCATGTATAAACAGGTCTAGAGTGGACTATGTGAAATGTAGTTTTTTATATTATTAAGTGATGAGGTGATCTGGTAATACTATTTATAAATATGAATTAGTTTTACATTAAAAACATTTTTCCATTAAAAATTATAACTGTAAATAAAATAAAATGTGTGTTAGAGGCTACTGTAAGCTTTGTTGTACACATACATACATAAAATCTATGTATATGCAATTATTATGCAGTTATATCAAACTAATGTATTTGTCATTGTTGTTATTGTTCTGGTTTTGGGAATAAAATTGTAGTATTTACAAAATCTAACTACTTCCCAACCAGAGAGTTAGGACCTCCCAAAGAGGAGATCTTGAATAATTTGAGGGGCCACAAGACAATTAAAGGGGTAAGAAAAGAGAAACTACATTTTTTGGGATAATTTGTTTGTTTATGTTAGCTGTTTTCTTGTGAAATACTGGATGCATTTGCCTTTTGAGGCCATAGAAATCCTTGAAATAAAACAATCGAAGAGGAGGAAGAGAAATCACTATTCACGTTCACAGGGCCATAAATCAGCGATGAGAGATTGAACAAATACAAATTGCTTCATTTTCATGAGGTGAAAAGTTTGGGAACTACTGCTAAACAGTGCTGTAGCTACACAGTGGATACTCAGGTATCTTCAGTATTTTACTTTCACATGGAATTTAAGTCCCCTAAAGCGCAATCTACATTTCATCTTACATTTCTTTTCAGTGGGGATATGTGTGATGAACAGACAAACATACAAGTAAGATACTTTGTGACATTAAAGAAATATCTAAATCATTGCCATGCTCTTTTTGGTTGGGTCGTCAATAATATGAGCTGTGGTGAGAAGTGTGGGGGGCATACTTGGACTCCTGCCCTCAGTGTTTATAAAAACCAGGCTACAGCCCTGCTGCTACAGTACATAATACAAGTGTTTAATATGAATCATCAGTCATACTAATAATAAGTTCCTTTACTTAAAAAATAAACAGTAGCTGAAACAATCAGCCTGTGTCAGAGAAAGACAGACGTTTTTTTTTTATGACTGTGTAAACTTCCTTTTTAATAACCCCTGTGCTCGTCATTCTGTCTTTAGATGATGCTTATCATTGGTGCATGTACATCAGCTTGTCAGACAGCCTAACATTTTTCGTCCACTGGTTATCCACCCCACCTCCTCTTCCCCGATAAGCGGCGCGGTGCGTAAATCCTCTCCCCCTCTCTGGCACAGCCGTCTCCAGTCTGCCAGAGGATAGCAGTCGTGCTCCCAGTGGAAGATGGCGGTGGGGATGCTGTCTGGGGCTGGAGCAGAGTGCTGGATTTGCACAAAAAGCGAACCCGGATGGATATAAAGGAGGGGGAAAAAATGAACATATTCCTATCTCTTTTCATCGAGGTGTGGACTCTTTTGTGGTTGTTTTAACTAGAGTCTGCTGCCGTTTCTTTTTTTTGTTTTTTTGGCTGGCAGAAATCCGGGCTTCTCGTCGGGGATTCACAGACTATACATTGATAGCTCGGCGCATAGACAGGGTGGGAGAGAAAAGTGGACGAAAATGTCGGATACAAAGGTAAAAGTTGCAGTGAGAGTCCGGCCCATGAACCGCAGGGGTAAGTGTTACAACCATGATTTCTGTTTTGCACGAAAAAAATAAACAAATCGCATTTCTGTCTCCTCGGTTTCATGCTACGTTATCATAAAGTTTTTGATTTCTTCGCCATTGCTGCTCTCAGCTTGAGTTACGAGCCTGGAGTCAGATTTGAGTAGCCTGAATAGGTTTTAAAGAAAGTAAAGCTCGGATTTGACTCTTTTTTTTGTTCACACCCCCGCATTCCGCTTTACTTTTCCCAACAAACTTCTCTCTACAGAAATTGAACTGAATACAAAATGTGTCGTGGATATGGAGGACAACCAAACAGTTCTACACCCACCACCTTCAAATGCAAAAGGGGAGAACAGGTAAACAACGCTGACACACACAGCCAGTGGATTGTATTGAATAAGAACAAAACAGCATTAATGCAAGCAGTGTGTAAGTGCAGTGAGCCTGCTGTAGCTGAGGCATCTTTTGCAGAGTTTAAAAATGTCTTTGCAGCACACATATGGGGGGGGGGGCTGGGTGTTTTGGAAATGCCTGTAGCTGCAGAAAAATGCAGACTGCACCCTTAGTGTAATAACTTTATCCCACCCTGGTTGCAATACAGTAAGAATAGCATCCAAGGTTAGCGTATAACGAGGTATCCGGTGAGTTCCTGGTATCTGAAAATACATCAGAACGTTAGACAGCATGATCCTGATACACAGAAGTCAGGATTTAACTTGCATGGCAAACTTTTATCTTGAATTCAAACTATTTATTGGCAGAAATGCCTGTAAATAATCGCAGTAGATGGACAGGAATACTGCTGCTGCTGCTGAAGACATCATGTCTGTCACCCACCTGCTTGCAACATGATATTATGTTATGTAATTCATGTGAACTTTCCAATACTAATCACCACAGTGTCATAATACATATACACATAATAAAATACCCTCCTATTTCGTATATCTGAGTTTAAAGCCTGTGGCGGCGGTTGAGCGAGTTTGACACATGAAGATGCTTATTAGACAGAACAGATTAATGTCGAGCCCCAGGGTATCGGCGTAAATCTCCAGTGTCAGAACTAATTCAACGTATGTGGCGTCCAAAGTATTGCCGACCCACAGCGTGTCTTTTAGATGATGGCAGGATGCTGCACACTTTATCC